ATATAAATCTTCCAGAATGATTGTGATTTTTTTCATTATTCTGCGTGTATTTTGGAATTTGGTTTATTTATTTATTGCTATATTATTAGATGCATAACTATTTAGAGTTATTATAAATTCCTAGAAAACTGAATTTTTTATCCTTATGAAGAAAACTTTCTTATTCCTAGTTGCCTTAAGATCTGTATCAACTTTCTTTGGTTACGATTTGCATGCTTTATCTTTTTCTACTAGATTCAAACAAGGTACACACATTGCATTTGGTTAAGTTTCTTACATTTCTCTTAATTGTTATAGTGCTATTCAAATTATCTATTATATGTATGGTGAGTTGTAATAGTTTGTGCTTTTTAATAAGTTGTCAAATTTGTGTGTGTAGAGTTGTTTGTAATACTCCCTGATTATACTTTAATGTCTGCAGAGTCTAGTGATAGCCTCTATTCGATTCCTGGCATTGGTAATTTTTGTCTTCTCTTATTTTTCATTTGACTTTTTCTGTATTTTCAATCAAATGTGATTAGATATGGATTTTTCAACAAATTCTACTTTGGCTTTGTTGGGACCTTTGAAATAGTAGATCAATGCGTTTCATTATGTTTTTAATTGTTTCTGGGAAATTCTCAGCCATGATCTCTTCAAATATTACCTCTTCCTATTTTTCTTCCTTTTCTCTGGGACTCCAATTAAATTATGTTCTGTTTTTCTCACTCTCTTCTCTATATCTTCCTTCTCTTCTGTGCTTTTCATTTTTTTCCCTCTTCTCTCATTCTAGGTCTTTCTTTGTAATCTGTATATCAACTCACTACTTTTCTCTTGTTGTGTCCAATCTGCTATTAAACCCAACCATTGGTTCTAAATTTTACTGTGTTTTTTACTTCCATAATTTTTAGATGATTCTTTTTCAGACCTCCAATATCTCTTTCATAGTTTCTGGTTCATTGCTGAGATTTTCAAATTAGATATTTATTTCCTTGAACATAGTAAGCATAGTTGCTTTACAGTTTGTGTCTGATAATCCCAGTATCTGGAGTCCCCGTATGCTTCTTTCTGATGTCTATTATCTCTATTTCCTCTAGTTCATTTTGTTTTGCCTCATCACATGTCTTGTGATATTTTATTGTTTCATGGATGTTTTGTTTGACAAGATACTTTTGTGTATAACACAAGACTTAAGGCAATGTTATCTTGTTCTGAAGAAGAGTTTTCATTCTGGCAGACATCAAAGAGTACTTACAGTTTAGAAACAAGGTTTGACATTTTGTGAGCCATCTAGATAATCCCTCGGAGTACAGTACACACCAATACCCAGAATAAAGTTCTTCTTGTTTCTAGCCCAATAGAGGGAACGTTACACTAGGTTTTTCCCTTTGGTGGATGCTAAGTTCCAACCCCCAAAGCCACCAAAATACATATCTGCCTTCCAGTGAACTTTCATGGATAGGTAAATGATCTCAGGTCAGTCTTTTGGAGTTTCAGCCGAAAGCAGAAAGTATTTCACTAAAGTCTTTTTCCTTGATTGCCAAGGATTTTAACCCATGTCCACTCCACCTCTTGAGAATGGCAAAAGCAGAGCTTCCTCTCTGCTGTTTTTACTCACAAATATCCGCAGTTCAGAATCAGCCCTAATCTATCTCTTTGATCTTCAATTCTACCCCTCTTCTCATAATTTTTAAAAACTTTTAAAATTACTTTTAAAAGTTGTGTTCATCAGGGTATTTGGGCCAGATCTCACAGTGCACCATTAGCAAAAGGTAACATATAGCATAGCACATTCTGTACCTATTTTCCCACTTAGTATATTGGGATATCTCTCTTTATCAGTACATTATTATAGCTGTACACAACTCCTTGTATAAATATCTGTTATTTCTGGACATCTGGTCCTTTTCAAATTTTTGCTATTATAAACAATGCCACTATGAATAAACTCATCATATGGTATTTGTTATTTATTCAAGTGGTCCTGCAGGATAGACTCCTAGTAGTTGTATCTGTCAAAAAGTAAATACAAAGTAAACTTGTTTGATCTTGCCAAAATTCCTCATTTTATACATCCAATGGCATTGAATAAAGGAAACTATTTCCTCATAGCTTCAACAGCCTATGTGGTTTAGTTTGGATGTTTGTCTTAATTGAGTAGATGAGAAATCCAATTTATTCAAATATAAATAAATTATTTTACTGACTTTCATATCACTGCTTGTATTTGTTTTCCTCTTATTTTTCTGGTTTTTTTTTCTCAGTCTCCTCCTCCTCTATCCATCCTTTAAATAAGATTCTTTGAAGTTATTCTTGGACTCTCTTCTTTCCTCCCTGTCACAATCTTTCTAAGTGATCTTGCCCATTCTTATGGCTCTGATGCCATACATAATTACAATGAATTCCAAATTCATCTTTCTGGCCCAGACCTCTCTTCTGAATTTGAGATCTCCATGTCAATGTCTCTCCAGCATCCAAAAATTCAGTGTAGCACTAACTTCTGGATCCTCCTTGCCTAATCACTAAAATATAATCCAAACTTCCTAAAACACAGTAAATACCATTATCTTTCAACTGCTAAAACTAGAAACCTGGGACTCAATAAAACCTCCTGTTCTTTGATGCTAGCATCCAATTAATTACTTAATCCTATTTACTCTACATCAAAAATACATCTGTTTCAGTTATTCAGGATGATTAAGTTTTGGAGATCTAATGTACAGCATGGTGGCTGAAGTTAACAATTCTGTATTGTATATTTGAAATTTTTAAAGAGGTAGATCTTAAGTGTTCTCACCACACACACACAAAAGTAACTGTAAGATGATAAATATGTTAATTAGGTTAATTGTTGTAATTCTCTCCAAACATCCTGTTGTGCACCTTAAATGCAAGCAATTGTTTGTTTTTTTTTTAAGATTTTTATTGGGGAATTGGGTGATGGGAACAACCCTGGGGAATTGGGGGAAAGGGAACATACAAGTTGCTGTCCTTTTGTTCTTCAGTCTAGTTGTGGAGGATGTTGCTTCACTGGCCCAAGTTGACATCATCATTGCGCTCTTCCCAGGTGAGGCAGATCAGTCGCGGCTTCTAAACGGCCATTTGCTGTGGATGCTAGCCGCTCACACTGGCTGCTGGCTACACACGGTAGCCTATGGCAACCCACTGCCACAGGGGCTGCTGCCTAAGCGGTCGCCGGCGACTCACGGCAGCCCAGCTCCAGGTCGAGCTGTTGTTCAGCATCTTAGCTGTGGAGGGCAGTGTCATTGGCCCTCATATGTGGAACCTGAACAGGGGCCCTCTGGCGTCCCAAGCCAGTTCTTAACCATCGCGCCACTAGGCCGGCCCAAATATAAGCAATTTTTATTTGTTAATTATACTTCAATAAAGCTGTAAAAAACTTAGCTACAAAAGAAAAAAATGATATATATCCAAAAAAATGATACACATTTTAAGAAAGGAAAAAACTGAATTAAAATTGTAATATTCAATATATACCGATAACAATAGATGAATACAAGTCACATTTGACTTCTGCAATTACAAGAGGTGCTCAAAGTGGTTACCATCAGCATCCAGGCACTTCTAATTACGGCAAACTACTACTTGAGCAACACTGACTAAGTGTCTACTTGTATACATTTTTGGCACACCATTTTTTTGGCACCCGTGTGTGCGCGTGTGTGTGTGCGTGTGTGTGTGTGTGTGTATTTTTTTCACCCTCTTATTTCTATTTCTACTTCTCCTCACCATTGATCATCGCTAAACTTATCACAAAGTCCTTTAAACTGGGCTCCCCATTTCACCCCAGGTTTTCACAAAGGAGCAAGCATGAGCTTTTTACAATATAAACTGGATGATGCTACTCACTTTCAATTTAAATTTACTTGAGATAAAAATCAAAATCATTAACATGATCTGTGAGGAACTACATGACCAGACATTGCTTATATCTTAACCTCATCTCATGCCATTCATTATGCTCCAGGGGCACCAACCTCCTTTCAGTTCCTCAAAATTTTCAACCTCTCTTCTGCATCAGGAAATCTCTCTCTCCCAAGAGACAGTAATCTCCACGAGGGCAAGGATATCTGTCTCTTTTTTACCATTGTATACAAAAGCACCCAGAACAGTGCCAATTTGTACCTGTAAAATATTGCTAGGTGAATGTAGCCAAGAGGTACTAAGTGCTTAAACTAAAAGTTGTATGCATGAGTTGAAAACAGGAAGCCTTAAAAATGAATGATGACTAAGACTTGGTGAATTATCTAACTTCAGACTAAGACACAGAGAGGTATTAAATATGGCTAAAGGCCTCCCCAGGAAGAACTAAGAAAAAACAACAAAACATTGGAAAGTCACCAAAACAATAGCTGACTAGTGTGGGACAGTAGGGGGAAGTTGAGGACGTAGAAAGGGAGAGAGAGATTTGTGCATGCCAAAATGATAGATTCATCTATCAAGGCAATGTACGAAATGTCTGAGGCCATGGTGGGCCACTAGAGAGAAAATATTGATTGGGCAATTGAAAGTGTGGAATCAAAGCTCAGGAGGAAGCCATCAGGTCTTAGACAAAAACAGAGGCGGTAAGAGTGAAAGAATTCCCCAAAGGGAAGATAGAAAAGAAATGTGGATGATAGTGATAGAATTTTAGGGAATAGCACATTAACAAAATGCGAGGAAAATACGAAGCTAACAATTGAACAAAGAATGACCAGAATGGTAGGGGAAAAATGGGACAATGTCGTGTCAAAATAAGAAAGAAAGGTTTCTGGAAGAGGTCACTCAGCATAGAGAAGTCAAATGTCTTAGAGAAATGAAGCAAACTGAATAGGAGTTTGGATGGATAAGAGTGAGATCCTTGGCAACCTTGAAACTTGGAAGTGGGGCAGGGAAGCATTCGGGTTTAGAGACAGAATGTTTATGTCCTGGGATATGGGGACTAGAATTTTCATTTGTACAAGAGGATGATACACAGTCCTATACTAACTCCTAAGCCTCCTCTCTCTTCCTCCCCACAGCCCTAAAGCCCATGGATCTACATGCCACATATCAGACGGGGCCCCTAATGGCAGTGGAGACCACTCGGAACATAGTGCTGCACTGGCGGGCTCACAGCTGGCCTCTGCGCTCCCTCCGCACACCAGTGGCCTCCCTGCACTCTGTGGCCAGAGAGCTGGGGGGCCTGGCCGGGGGTCCCCACACCGTGGTGGTACTGGGACTGGGCGCCCACTTCACCACCTTCCCTCCGACCATCTTTGCGCGACGGCTGGCAGGGATCCGGGCAGCTGTGGCTGCGCTGCTGGCCCGGGAGCCCCACACTCTTGTGGTCATCAAACTGGCCAATACCGGCTACAAGTCTGTATATGGCAGCGACTGGTTCACCCTCCAGTTGAACCGGCTCCTCCGAGCTGCCTTTGCTGACCTCCGTGTGGCCTTTGTGGAAGCCTGGGAAATGACCTCTAGCCTGGCCGTGCCCGACAACATCCACCCAGGGCGGCTCATCGTTCGCAACGAAGTGGACTTCCTCCTGTCCTTTGTCTGCCCCACCTGAGCGCTTCTGTGGGTTCTGCGACTGTGTGAATGGAGACCATAGGAATTGTGAAGAAAACCACAGTAGTAATGGGACCCTGCACTAGTAGTGATTCAGAGAAATCTTACTCCAAGATTTACCACCTAGGGTTAATCACTGTTGATGTTTTGGAAACCAGCCTTGCATACATCTCCATAGTCATCAAATATTAGTGTGTGTGTGTGTGTGTGTGTGTGTGTGTGTGTGTGTGTGTGTAATTTTAGATAAATGAAATAATATTTTACGTGCCTTCTTTTTAATTCCCTATTTGGGAACTTTTTATTAGTGTAATTGTAGATTATGCGGTTGTAAGTAATAATACAAAGATCCCTTGTACACTTTACTCAGTTTCTCCCAATGGTAACATCTTGCAAAACTGTAACACAGTACAGTGTCCCACCCAGGGTATTAGTGGGTGGGACTCTTTGGATGGCACTCAGCAGCAACATTCACTGTGTTTTTTTTAATCACACTTCATAGATACCATGTGTCTTTAGTCTCCTTTCATCTGTTCCTCAGGCTTTATTTTTCGTGACTGAATTTTTTGAAGTATACAGATCAATTATTTTTTAGAATATCCATAATTTGAGTTTGTCTGATGTCCCAAATGATTTATTGCAGGTTATGCATATTTTGGCATGTACACCTAAGTAGTGATGTAGTGTTCTCAATTCATCTCACCAGGAAACATATGATGTTGTTTTGTCCCAATATCAGTCATGTTACTTTTATCATGGAGAAAAAGTGGTGTCCACTAGGTTTTTCCATTATAAAGTTACTATTTCCCCTTAGCAATTAATAAGTCATTCATGGGCAGATAGTTGAGAGTATGTAAACCCCGTGTTCCACACAAAGCTCTCCTCTACCAGTTTTAGCACACATTAATGTTTCTTGCCTAAAACCATTATTACTTTGATAGTTGCAAATGGTGATTTTTTTCAATCCATCTTTCCTTCTATATATATTTATGAGTTGCCATTCTACTGTAAAAAAGAGCTTTCCCTTTCCCCCCATTTATGTCTTTGTTCATTCATTTATATTAATATGAGCTCATTATTGAATGGCCTACAATCAATTATCATTATTTTGATTCTCAAGTTACTCCAAATTTGGCCAGTAAGAACCCCTTCAAGCTGCAATACCTTTGTTATTGAAAGACTTGTCTTCTAAACTGTTGTGCATTGTTGGTGGGATTGCAAATTGGTACAGGCACTGTGGGAAACAGTATGGATGGATTGGAGGGGGTGAAATAACAGAGTAGGCAACAGCTGCTTTATGAAGCCGGAAAAGAGATCACTGGCTCTGTCCCAAGGTAAATTCTTTTCTTATTATTTGAGTTAGGTTTAAGATGTAGAATGAACATGATGTGGTAATCATGTTGGAAGCAGGTGGCTGACAGCGTAGGGCAATTGGAGTTATTATATCAGAGCAGTGTTGGCGGCTTTCAGATTTTAAGGAAGTCTGTCCAGCATTATAGGTACAAGGAAGCAGGGGTGGAATTTCTAGGTGCTTGATGGAAGTGAAGGAGGTGAGTGTGTGATGGAACTGGGACCAAGATCCCTATGTTTCAAAGAAAGAGATAAAATGGGAGTGAGTGAGTGTATCTGGAGTTTACTAATAGCAGGTGAGTAACTGAATCTCTTTCACATACTTCTCCCTGCCTCCCATCCTCCTTTGGGTGGAAGCAAAAATTCTCCCAGGTGTCCTGTGTTGCTGCTATTGCTGTATTCCTGCTGTTGTTATTGCTTCACATTTTTCTGGGGCCTCACAATTTTAATTACACTTGCATGTCATATACTTAATCAATCCACACATGGACACTATTGGAGGCAATAATATGGAAAATTGCAATGAGACTGGTGACACCCCTCATTTGCTCTACTGCCCACCCTGGCCCAGGGTTCTTTGCTGCTCTGAATCAGGGAATGGCAGAAGTTAATGCAGAAAGTCAAAAGGATTTTCAGTTTATCCTCAGCTTGATGGTCCCCCATTCTCACCGACAGCCAGGTTGTCACTGAATCAGGCATTAGCTCTTTGCCACTCCCAAGACATGCTGGGCAATGGAAGGCCTGTTTCTCAAGCTCCAGGCCAGTTTTCCGGGGGATACATCTCTCTCTAACTCTAAACAAACTGAAGGAACCCTCAAGCCCATGTGCCCCATATAAGTAGTCCTTTGGGCCCTTGCTCGGCTTTGCTCTAGGGCTACCTACTCCTTCTTCAGCCCCTGGTCTTTTTAAACGTGTCAACAGCCACAAAACAGTGCCTAGGAGTATGCCTGTCTTTGCCCCATTTAATCCTGCACTTCTCTGGGTTCCAGCCTCAAAGAAGGAGGAACATAATTCTTCTATGAAAGTACACTTTTTAGTTTGGGAGAGATTGAGTGTGATACACTCAGTCCCTTCTTCTCCATGTTTTCTGGGGAAGGGAGATGTCCACTAATAGCATATGTTCTTGATTGCATGCTGCTGTCTTTCTGTCACGTTCTGCACGACATGAGCAGTGGGAGAACGAGAGGGGGCGGCGAAGGGCTAAGAAATAAAAGAAACAGCAGTCAAGAGTTAAATGAGTATGGGGCCAAGAGTCTCCAGCCTTGTGGACTAAGAGCCCTGAATCCGGCCGACACCGCTTTTATTCCTCCACCTACCCGGAAGTAGCATTGTTCTCTCCACAGTCTGGGAGTCTCATTCCTGAGAACTTGCTCAAGCAGATTACCCATGCCTGCAAGCTGCTATTACCAAGAGTCCACCCATGGCAATAAGATTCTCAAGTTACTCCAAATTTGGCCAGTAAGAACCCCTTCAAGCTGC